CGGTCTCGAACCCGCAGTCTCAGGCAATCCACTCACCTCAGCCTCCCAAGGCGCGGGATTACAGGCTGAGCTACCGAGCCCGGCTGAGAACATAATTTCAGAGAAATTTTGTGTCAGGGACTTCTCAAAGGTCCTAAGTCACCCTCAGAATGTAGCAGGCGGTGTGGGGAAAGTGGGGGGGAGGCTCGCTCTGCATTCCTCCTCTGGGTTGACTCCATGCTAATGTTTCAGAAACACTAAGGGAACACATGGCTTCCTGTTTCTAAATTACATCAACAGTAGACAAACGGTAAACAAATGGTGATGAATCATAAATAACTTTCCCATCTCATTTGAGGGAAAAGCAGTGCTTATCTCTTCACATACATGTTAAACCTTCAGTTGCCAACACTTAGTTTGTATCCCCAGAGATTTCCTTCCCATGCCTATCACCCTACTCCTAACTGAAGACCAGACAGGCAGGAATTTAGATCAATATTCAGAAATGGTCATCCACATTACAAAAGAACAAATGATAAACTCATTGTACCATAAATTTCAGCCAGTGACATAAAGACAGTAGAAAAGAAAAACAATTGGAAATCTCACATTTGAAAGGAAGAAGTAAAACTGTCTTTTAGCAGCTGATAAGATCATGTACATAAAAACTCCTAACAAATCTACAATAAGGCTACTACAACAAATAATTGAGCCAGGTTGCAGGATATAGAGTCAAGTTTCTACATGTTAGCAACAAATATTAAACACTAAAATTAAACAACATAATTTGCAACAGTATAAAAAAAGAAATACTTAGAGATAAATCTATCAAGATATCTGTAAGACCTCTACATTGAACACTATAAAACAGTCCTGAGAGCTTTAAGAAGATGCAAATAAACGAAAAGATACCATATCCATGGGTTGGAAAATTCAATACTATTATCAATTCTCCCCAAATTTACCTATAGATTCAAAGTAATACCAATATATATTCCAGAACATAGTTTATGGAATTATAAATTGGCTCTAAAATTTATATGGAGATGCAAAGGATTTAGCATAGCCAAAACAATTTTAGAAAAAGAAAATGAAACTGAAGAATTTATACTACCTGACTTCATGATAAAAGCTCTAGCAATCAAGTATTAGCATAAGGACATAAGATCAATGGAGTGGAAGAGAGGCTTCAGAAACAGACCCACACGTACACTATTATCAATTGACCTGACAAAGCTGCCAAAAAAATTCAATGAACCAAGGACAGTCCTGAAAAGTACTAACTTGAAAATGGTGCTGAAACAACTGAATATCCATACAGAAAATAAAATAAACCTTAAACCTTAAGTCAAACCATGCCATAAAATTAACTTAAAATGGGCCACAAACCTAAATATAACCGTTAAGCCCATAAAACTTCTATAAGGAAACATTAAAAAAAAAATTACCTTAGAATAGACAAACATTTCTAAGAAGACAAAAGTATGAACTAAAAAGAAATATATAAATTGAAATTCATTAAAATTTAAGAAATATCTGCTTGAATGACAGTTAAGAAAATATAAAAAAAGAAACCACAAACTCAGAGATGATATTCACAACATGTATATTTTCCAAAGTACTTGATCCAGAATATATAGAGTTCTCTTAACTCACTCATAATAGGAAAACTTAATTTAGAAAATGGCCAAAGATTTACACACACATTTTACAAAAGATATGTAAATAGCCAGTATACAAGGACGGAGATCTCATGCTGTTGTAGAATGCAAAATGGAACATTTTGGAAAACACTTTGGCAGTTTCTTATAAACTTATTTTTTTGGTTTATTTATTTATTTATTTTTTATTTAAAGAGATGAGGTCTCACTATGTTGCCCAGGCTGGTCTTCAACTCCTGGGCTCAGTAATCTCCTGCCTTGGCCTCCCAAAAAGCTGGGATTACAGGCATGAGCCACCATGCCCAGCCTTCACAAAGTTAAACATATACTAAACACTAGGGATTTACCCAATAAAAATAAAGCCACATATCTACACAAAGATTTGTACAAAAACGTTTATATCAGCATTACTCACTACAGTCTCAAACCAGAAACAACCCAAATTTCCACTAACAGTGGAATAACAAATTACTACACAGACACACACTGGAGTACAGTGCTACTCAGCAATAAAATGGAGAGAACCACTGGGAAAAAAAATGCAATAACATGGACAAATCTCAAAAACATTGTGGTGGGTCAAATAACCCAGACAAAAACTTGTACATTCTATGATTCCATTTATATAAAACTCTAGAACACATAAAACTAAACTCCAATGACAAGAAGAACATTAGCAGTTACCAGGGGTCTGAGTTCAAGGGAGCAGGGGAGGCACGAGGTAGATTCTGAGGCAAGATGAATGTTCTATCTATCTATATTTGGTAAAACCAATCTGTATACTCAATAAAGTTGGTTTAAAAATTATCCTCACCATGCGTTCAGTGAAATGGGACACAGTATGCTTAAAAGAAGGCAGCTGATGTCAGAGACCAAGTTATAAATATTTATAAGAACATATAAGCAATTTAGGACTAAAATAGGGGCTAGAGAGGGTTCCATCATACCTTTGGTGCTATGAAGATAAATTACTTTGGGGAAAAAGGACTGGAATATCTTTAAAAAATTTATTCTGCCGGGCTCGGTGGCTCAGCCTATAATCCCGCGCCTTTGGGAGGCTGAGGTGAGCGGAATGCCTGAGCCCGTGGGTTCGAGACCCGCCTGGGCAGCAAGACCTCATCTCTACAATAAATCAAAAAATCAGCCGGGCGTGGTAGCGCATGCTTGTAATTCCGGCTACTCGGAAGGCTGAGGCGGAAGGATCACCGGAGCCCAGCAGGTCGAGGCTGTGGTGGCCGGGAGCGGCCACTGCACTCCAGTATGGGCGACTGAGTGAGACTCCAACTCAAAAAAAATTTTTTTTTCTACAGAAAGTTAAAAAGTTGATTACATAGAAAAACTGATTATGGTGTATTTTTAACAAACTCTTAAAAGAGGAGCTTTTGGGGTGTATTTCCTTTCTAATTATAAGAGGCAGACAAAGCTGCACCAGAATCCAACCTGACTGGCTCCTTGAGGATGAGTTCTCTGAACAATGCCTTTAAAATTTAGCCAAAACCCACTTCCTAACTTCATCTTGCCTAACTTCTCTTCAAGTCAGTCTATTCACTGCACTTGTTATGACTTGCATGCTCTTACATGCAGAGATCCAGTGTGAAATGGCCCCAGATACAGTATGGTCTTATCTGGAAACAGTTTTACTTTTTAGTCTGAGTCACATTTTAGTAAACTTAACTCAATCTAGGTACTTAAGTTTAGGTACTACAGTCCCAAGAATTCAAGGCTGGCAAACAAGTTTCTAAAAAGTAAAAACAGTAATAATTATGGGTTTTCATCTCAAATAACACCTTGTAACATACCTCCAGGAGCATCATCTGACAATGAGGCAAATTCTATTACTTTAGCAAGGTTCCTGAGTTCTAATATAAGTTCCAGATCTCCCTATTTATAAAAAAGTACAAACTTGAAAACTGTGCTAGCAACATATGCATTGCTTATATATTTTTTAAAATTTTCATTTCCCGACAACTGTTATAACATTTACACTACACATGAATATATGAAACTTGGAGAGGTTACACACCTTGCCCGAACTCCCACATGAAGGTTGTGATGCAAAGCCAGGTTATTTAAACTCCACAGTCCATGACCTTAAGTACATGCTGTAATGCCTCCCAAGGAGAACACAGTCTCTCTGAGAGGCACTACATAACGTTGAGAGAAGAGTGACAGTATAATTTCTTAAAGTTCCATTTACCTTCAAGGGACGCAGAGCACCACAAAATTTTGTCCACCAGCTGTTTTCAATGAATTCTAAATGCCTCTCTCTTTTCCTAAGTGTTCTTAGTCTTTCTTCAAGTTGTTTCAAAGCGCGCTTATCCCTTCCTGGCAAAGGTCGGCCATCTTTGCTCTGCAAATAACAGAACAAAATAAAAGTTTTTTACCATCAGCATTTTAATAAAGGACCCACCAGATATAGCAGATCAGTCAACAGAAATTTTTTAGGTTGAACACTCCTTTAGGCAAACTGAGAAACTACAAAAACCCTGACAATGGTGCTATGGCAGTAAATACAGCTTACCAGGGTCAACACTGAAACACAGCAGCGTGTACAGTTCACTGTGTAAACTGATGTTTCTTAGCCTGATTAAATGCCAGCAGAGGGATGCCACACAAGTTCAGGCAACATGCAGAGGTTTCTGTAACAACTGCTAAGATGGGCACTTCTCTGTTTTCCAAGCACGTTCACAAGTGAGTCATGCTTTCCTTGGCCAACCTATCCAACCATCTCCAGCTGTGTTTATGTGGTATTTTCTGTAACCATGAGCAGCACCTTTCTCCTGATGTCTCAAAGACACACTTCCCCATGTGAACCCCTTTGCCTCTAAGTGTCTTCAACTGGGTACAATTATAAGACTCCTAAATACAAAATAGGTAAAATGTAAATGTGCTTGCTTTTGCTGGAAGAAACAAGAAAAGTATCTACCCAGGACTACATTTTAAAAATGCAAAGGCATTAGGTGTTAGAATGTCTCCACTATTCCTATCAAGGTTTAAGTGGGTTCTTAGCAAATACACGGCCCACTTCTCCAGCATAACCTAGTGCAGCCTTGAGGTGAAATCACAGCTACAAGGAAGAGATGTCAACAACTATGCTATCTCTTCACACGTTTGCATCACCATGCCCTTCTGGAACCAGCTGTCCTCCTCCGTCTTATCACTCATCAGACTTTACCATGCATGAAAATTGCCTGAAAAGTGTGTTAAACACAGATTTCCAGGTCCTGCCCCCAGAGAATATGATTTAGTAGGTCTCAAGTGGGGCCTAGAATTTACATTTCAACCAAATTTCCAGGAGATGCTGGTGCTACTAGCCCAGAAAGCACACTTCCATACACTGAACTGTATTATCCTCTTCATTCCTTTAAGGCAAGTGCATTGGGTGGTATTCTCACACTAGACTCCAGAAAAAGAAACTTACAGAACATATTTTCTGAAGGTCAGAGGAATAAAATGAACACTTCCTTATGGAAGACAGATCCAGGCACTGATACTTCAAGACTGTGGTATGAGAAGGGTTCAGCACTTTCTATCTCAACCATAATCGTTTTTCTCAAAATTGTCATTATCATATCAAAAGGATACCCACAACCCAGTAATTTTGTTTCAATACTGGCTTATGCTATTTCAGAAAAAGAAATTAGTAAACTAATGTCAGGATCCACTTTGAATAAACCCAAGTTATCTGCCTATTTGGTGACTGCCACAGTGGAATGAGGGGTGATGTCTGTTCTGCAGGCCAAGTGACTATACCAATATAATGTTCGTCAGAGAAATGAATACTAAGAGGGAAACTCAACCATTTATCTCATTTGAGAGAAAAAATGCAGTTTCTAAAGGTTAAAATGTATCTAAGGGATTTAACAAACTTCGTATTTAAAAAAAGGAAACATGAAAGCTTCCCTTCAGTCCCCAGTGACCACAGTACCACTGCCTTTTCCTATGGCTAGATGTTAAATAGACCAATATCCTACAAATGTTCTAGGTATTTACATACCCACACCCACAGATGTACATATATACAAATATGCTTTTTTTTTAAAAGAAAACAACTAGCATTTCTTGACCGTCTTTCTTGTGCATAAAACTGGTTTTCTCTTGTTATATTTATTCTCCTTAAATCTTCAGAATAACCCTTTGAGGCAGGTAACGATATTACACTCATGTATTAAATGAGAAAACTAAGGTCCACAGATGTTATGTGCATAATCAGCAGAGCCAGAATTTGAACTAAGTCTGATTTTACAATTTCTATTCTTCAAGCTATATAAACCTACCTCATTCCTTTTCATCACTGCACAGCACACTATATACCATGGTGCCTTAATTTAGCAAGCACCGTATATTTGAACATTCTGATGGTTTCCTTTTCCTATTTTTGGCAAGAGCCAATGATATTACTGACACGGTGTCATAAATACCCGTACACTCCTGGGTACAATGTGTCCAAATGATCCAGCAGGGTGGATTCCAAGAGGTGAATGGTTGAACTAAACTTTAATTATTGAAAGGTATGTGTGTGTGTACAAGCCCACGTCACAACATTCCACTTTCTTTAAAGGTTGTATATCTCATATTCGCACAAATGGTAGACCTAGCCCCCCAATTCTCATCAACACCTGACATGAAAAAAAATATAAAGGAGTTCCAATGGATTAAAGAAAGTATTAAATTGTTATAATTTTCACATCTCCAACTCAAGGTTACCAATAGTCTTGGTTTTAGCATGGAAAGTCTTGTGTTCTGGAAAATTCCTCAGGTCCCAGGAATTTTGAGATGCTTGGTGAACCTACTGATCACCAATTAGCTGAAGTGCTATTTCATGTTTTTCCTTTAGTTTCCCTTCACAGAACTACCTCATTGGGTCCTTTGTTCCTTATTTCTGAGTGTTGCTTGTCTTTATTCTTACTGATTTGAAGATGTTCTTTATGTATCAACCATGCTGCAGATTTTCTCCGACATTATTGTTCATTTTTAACTTTCTTTTTGGTGTCCTTTTTTTTTGGTACATAAATTTGAGGACATAAAAATCTAAAACTCACCAAACTTCTTAATTAGCACCTGGATTTTGTGTATTGTTTAGAAAGGTCTTATCTATAACAAAATAAAATTTTACTCTTACTTCCTGCTAATGTCATATAAACTTTGTATTTGGTTTGAATTCAGAATTCATTTTTATAAAGTATGAGTTTTTATGCAAATTTTGTTTTTGTCTTTTATAAACTGTATTGAATCTATACCAAAACTTGTAGAAAACTGCCATCTCTACAATATTGAATCTTCCCAATTAAGCTCTGATGGTATTCTCAATTCATTTCAGTCTTCTATTAAGTATTTCAGTAAATTTTATAATTTCCACCAGGAAGATCCTCATATTTCTTATTACTTTATAGTTTGTGGCCATTGTGAATGTTATCATTTCCTATTACATCCTCCAACTGGTTAATTATTTTTATAACTATGTATAGGCATTTTGAGAAACTTTGATTAGTTCAACTAGCTTTGCCAGTTGATTCTTTTAGATTAACTTGGTAGATGATAACTGCAAATAACAAAAGTTATTTTCCTTTGTCCTCTCTTCCCTCAATGCTTACCTATGTCAATGATACTGACATCCCTGTCCTACATTTGGCTCTAATTGAGATGTTTCTACTCTTTCACTATTAAGTATAATGTTTATTAGAGGTTTTGTCTGTTCAGTATTCTCTTCTCTTCTAATCAGACAAGACTTTTTAAAAAATATATAGCTACAAATAGACTTTTGCCAAATACTCAATATATTAAACTACTTCAACATATTTTCTAATGTACTATGCTTGCACTTCTGAGATAAATCTAACCTAATAATTATGAAGCATTCTTTTACTACGCACAGATTTTGAATTGGTAATATTTCTATTTATATTAAAATATTTACCTTTACTTTCATAAGAAAGATAGTATATGTTTTTCTTTTTGTGTAAAATTATGGTGGTTTATCAGAATTATGTTAGCTTAGTGGAATATATCATACACAGAATACCTTGGAACTACGTATTAAAGATACAAGGTCTGGCTCATCCATAAGTAGAACTTTTTTTTTTAAGTGTTAGAACAATGACACTCAAATTGCCAGTGTCCTACATTATACAGAAGACACATTTTTAAACATACAGGCATGGTTCTTGAAGGATATGCTGCAAAAAATTCAAACATTGTAAACAATTATGGGTTTGCCAATATCTAAATAACATCAGAAAGTAGCTCAAAGATAAAATAATTTTATGTTTCCCAATTACAATAATGCACCAGCTCACTCTGGATTTAATGGTCTGAATGTGCTGCTCCACTTCTTCAATGTCCTCAGTGTTTTCTAAACGTTCATAAGCAGCACTCCTTGTGCCTTTGATCAGATTTAAAGGTAATGCAGACATGCCATAGGCCTACAAGAAGCACAATTGGAATATGTTTTAGTACTACTATTTTAAACGTCATACATAATTTTTAGTCTAAAAATGACCTTTGAAGTAATAACTTAAAAGTCAGTAGTTGTGAAGGCATACAATTATTGAATAACATGGAATACGGAGTGAAACATATAAAACATATGTCTTATAATGCTCCTATTTATTTCATATTTACATTCAAACAGTTACATTTATAACACTAACTATTCCTCAAAGACAAGTCGAAAATACAATGAAAAGACATATAATACTTTATCAAAGTAATAAATTATGACTTTAGGCTAATTAAGATAGTATAAATCAGTAAAAACAATTTATAAAATTATTTTCTATGAAAAAAAGACATTTTATCCAACCATATATAGTAAGTACAGGTTGAGTATCCCTCATTTGAAATGCCTGGGACCAGATGTGTCTTGGATTTCAGATTTTTTTCAGTTTTTGCATTATCAAGCATCCCTAATCTGAAATTCTAAAATCTAAATGCCAATAAGCATTTCCTTTGGGCTCAAAGTTTTGAATTATGGAGCAGTCTATATTTTGGATCTTTGGATTAGAGATACTCAAACTGTAGAGGAATATCCCTCTATTTAACTCAATTCTTATCAAATGGATACTTGTAAAATGTATACCTTGGTAAAAAGTAAAATATATATATAATTGAGTATAAACTTTATATTAAAAATATAATCCTCAAAACATTGAAATATGTAAAAATTAAAGTCCTAGGAACCAAAGTACCTCATAGTTCCTTTAACCTTTCCTTATAGGCCTCTCCCATTATCATTTTGACTTATTTGATTACTCTAATATTTCCAAAGCCTTTAAACATTATTGATAAAAAAAATAACATAATAATTCAATACTCTAATAAACATATAATATCATATAAGGATTATTTACCAATTCTGCATACTCACATATTATTTTAACAGTTCAGTACCCATGTTGCTTTTTACAATCAAACACCAAGGCATTATTTTGCTAAACCCAATTTATTCCCAAGTATGAATCCCTGACCTCCCAAACCACTCCCAAACTAGGCCTATTTTACCTCAATGCCTGTGATTCTCTGTCGGAGGGATTAGGGTTCTTTCTGTACTAACTTCAGTACTCAATACCATTTCTGAAGTAATCTTCTCATCTCGTCAATACTGACAACATTGCCCTTACTTAGACTGCACTGCCAAACACAAGGTCCCCTAAATATTCCCAACTGGTCTGCAGGTCTCATTTTCTATAAAGCCATTCTTCCACACTGTCTCCACAGTGATCCCATGCTAACATCCAAGTCAAGTTATGCCATTCCTCTAATTAATATGCTTTAAGATCCTCCAGGACTAGTAAGTATATTTTTCAAAGATTCTAGTATGAGTTCCTAGGATTCTGGAAAGGTGCTTCTAGGGCCACTACAGAAGATAAGAAGGCAGCTAGCCTTCAGGGACATGATGCTACTTTACCCAAGAAATTCTACTTACTCACCTTTTTAAAAAATATATCAGAACTTCATATAAGATTGTTTTAAGAAGTTGTGTTACTATTTTTCCAATGAAAGGCAGAATCATTGGTCTTGTGAACAGACTCCAGTTAATGTAATCCTGCACATAAATTCCTTCATGAGCTCAACCCTACCAACTTGCTAACTGCATCTCACACCTCTGAACTGTTCACAGTTCATGAGGATTTTATACTACTTCAGGCTCTGTCCAGCAAGCACACTTCAATACATGCAGCCCCTCATCTAGAATGTCTACCTTCTCACCCTACTTCAGGTCTAATTATACTATGTCTGAGCAACCTTCCCTGACTTGTAAAGGTGCCTTGATTATAATTCAGTTACAACACCTAACAATACATATTAACATTCCTGGTGTGCACATTTGTTTTATCATTACATCTGCCAACCTTGGCCAAACAGACTAGTAACAAATACCAGGCTATTTGGCATGTAACTACTAGGTCTCAATTCTTTTTCTTTCTACCTTTATTTCAAGTACAAACATTTATTAAATTAATAAAATAATTTATCTAAGAATATTTAACCAAAAATCTTTTTAAAAGAGAGAGCTCTTAATTCACACAAAGTTATTTCCTTACATGGAATTGACGTATTTATTAGAAAAGCTGAACTGAATTCCTAAATAGCTTAATGTAAAATATTTTAGAAAATAAAAATACTTAAGAATAAAAATATTCTTGGTAACAACTTATGGCAATATGGGACAAAAATACATCATTATTTTTGAATTTTTAATTGTTGGAAGACAGCAAATAGAAGAAAGTAGCCATATTCAGATACTAAGCTTTCAGCTTGTTTTTGGATTGCAGTTTCAATTACTTATCAGGAAACAACTATAATATTTAGATTATAAGCATCATATAACCTTATGTAAAGCAACGTTTAGAGACTTTAAACAACAATCTTTTGAATTTAATCTTAGACTTTTTCTGGGGGAAAAAAATGTACAAAAGATTGTCTGGTCAGAAACAAAACTTTTATTGCTTACTACTGCCCTCTAGTGAATTTCCAAAAAAAATCAAGAAGGCTAAGGAGATCCTATAGCTTAAAATGCTTCTGTTTGGCCATAGCTGCCTCCGATTTTATTTGTTTTGACTTCCAAGAATAAATCACCAGCTCTATTTTAAAACTAAGATGTTTTAAAGCAATATATACAAGTTACATTCCAAATGCCTTCTTGCACTGCTCAGTTTATGGAGCTTGTAGAGAAAAGCCTCTCCTTTACCTAGAGATGGTTTCCAACACATGAATCTTGGATTACCGCAAAGGGTAAACACCAAGCACTACCTGTAGACTGAATCAATCTCTCTCACATATTTGTAAAACCTATTATTCAGGACATACCTGTTGCTATGAATAATGAAACAATGCAAGTACTCAAGACATCCCTTTTAAGCATTCACTGATTTTAAGACATACATTTTCTTACATTTAACATCAGTGAAATTTGGGTGCATCTTGAAATTGAAGGCATCTTATAATCACTGGCTAGGCAGAAGTCATGAGTTTGGTCAAAGCTGGTCACATTATATAGTATTCAGTTAAGCTATATGTACTCTTGGTACAACCACTGAGTTTAATTACCAGTTATGTCTTATAAGACAGTATTGTGATTTGACATCCGAACAAGAAGTTAATATAGAAGTACGGAGAAAAAAACAGTAAGCAAACATTCATGACAACAATGAGCACAATGCTAATTTTCTTGCAAAGCAACAGTCAAGTACTTCATGAGCTTAAGAAAGGGAGATACCAAGAGAGGAGCTATTTTGCACTTTTCTTCTTAGGTAGATGCAACTGGATTGCCTTTCACACAGCAAGACAAGAAACCACAGCAAAGCAACTTAAATTTACAGAATGGGTGTTTTAGCAGCTTCAAAGAAAATCTCAGTGATAAGAGCAGAACACTCAAGAAAAGCTACACCAACGCTCTTGATAGCATGAAAGACAATACACTTTTTTGGTTCCCACATATAAGTGAGAATACGTGATACTGTCTTTCGTGCCTAGCTTATTTCCCTGAACATGACTAAGGTAGAGAGCAGACTGGGGAAGGAGAAGGAGTGAAGAGAGACCAATTAATGGTATAAAATATATTTAAACAGAAGCAATAAGACTTATGTTCAACAAGTCAGCAGGGTGACTACAATTAACAATAGCCAACTGCACATTTTGAAACAATTATAAGACAGTAATTTGAATGTTCCCCACATAAAGATATATGTCTAAAGGGATGAATATCTCAATTACCCTGATTTGATCAACACATACGAATGTATGTGAATATCATGTGCACCCTGAAAATTGTGTACATCTATTATGTATCAATAAAAATAAAAGACAACACTGATAATCCTTGTCTCACAAAGGTCCAATTTGGGATTTTTCAACTTTATGATGGTATGAAACCATTCTGTTTTTCACTTTCAATACAGTGTTCAATAAATCACATGAGATATTCAAAGCTTTATTATAAAGCAGGTTTTGTGCTAGATGATGTTGACCAACTGTAGCTAATTTAAATGTCCTGAGCACATTCAAGGTAGGCTAGGCTAAATTAGGATGTTCAGTAAATTAGGCATATTAAATGCATTTTCAACTTACAATATTTTCAACTTATAATGAGTTTACTGGGATGTAACCCCATTGTAAATCAAAGAGCATCTGTATTCTATAGTATGGACATCAATAATCAATTCAAAAAGTGATCCAGAATTCTCACACTCCAAATGTGAAATTTTATGAATGCCTTTCCAATTTATTTCATTCATATTTTCCTTGTCACATGTGTAAAAGAGTGATGTGACTTTATTTAAAAAGCCAAGAAATTTTGCTTACTAAATATAAAACAAAAATTATAAACGATTAAGGAAGCACCGTCAGAGATTTTTTTTCCTTATAGTGGTACATAAAATAACAGTGCCTCGTACAATCTGTGGCATATACTCAAGAAATATGGCATCACACAGAAGGTTGAGAAATTTGACTTTTAAAGAGGATTTCTGTCTCAAAATATTATTGATAAGCAATTATTTAGTTCATAAGGTGGTATACTATGGATTGAATGTTTGTGTCCTCCTAAAATTCCTGTGCTGAAGCCTAGCCCCCAGTGTGATGGTATTTGTAGGCAGAGCCTTTGGAAGGCAATTGAGTCATGAAGGTGGATCCCTTATGAATCAGATGAGTACCCTTATAAGAAGAGACACCAGAGAGCCTGCTTCCTTCCTCTCTCTGCTCTCTATCATGTGAGAGGCAATGAGAAGACAGCCAATGGCAAACCAAGGCAAACACTCCATGACCAGGGCTCAGCTGCACAAGGAAGCGGGTCCTCACCAGACACCCAAGTTGCTGACTCCAGAACTGTGAGAAATAAATGTTTGTTGTGTGAGCCACCTGGTGTATGGTATATTTGTTATAGCAACCTGAACTAAGACATGGGACAAAGCAACTTTTGATA